CACTCTTTCATTTTATTTCAGGGGAATTCAGTTCAAAAAGCAGTGAAATTCAGCCAGTTTAACCACTGTGGCTGACCAGAGGCTGTGAGGCAAAACAGCAACATACTGAGTTTTCTGTTAGACAGAAATTAAAGGAACATAAACAATAAAAATAACCAGCAATATAGGCTTTATAACATGTGCCATTTCAGTTAGTGTTACAATCAACTTTTGGTACAACGCTCTTAAACAAAGCCAAGTCCAAATACATCACTAAAAATGGGAAGAAGGCCATATTTGCTGCTCATACTGCAAAGACATAAGAAATGAGTGTTTCCTGTCAGTACAACCAATATGAAAAATGCCGTCAGTTAAATCTGAACACCCTCAAACTATGCAAGGGAGATAAAATTATTGCTTAAAAGAAGTGGGGCCAATGGAAAATGGCTTTTCAAGGTAGATGTGGTATTTCACTTGTGTAATTGGAAAGGGAGCAATGGAGACGGAATGAAAAGGGAGGAGACAAGTGCTGGGTTTTATTATTATTTTAATAAGCAGAATAGGTTGTATTAAGATTGAAATTAGTTTGGGAAAGTCATCAAGGTCAATGTAAGTAGCAATTACTGGCTGTGGTGACAAAAGTACTTTTATATTCGTGACTCAAAATCATAAAATAGCAAGATTATTTATCATTTAAGTATCTAATTCTGTAAAACTCGAACTGACAGAAGCAGCAAAGAACGAAATTCATCCATTTGAAAAAAACATCAACAAGGTTCAGGCATTATTCTTTGCCATTTCAACCATCTTTTTTATATATACAAGAAGCACATGGATCTGGTTCTTGTGTCTTTTACAAAGCCAATATTCATCTTAGTTTATATTAAGAGTTTCTTCCCAAGAAAAGGGAGGAAGGTGAACATACAATTGCACTCCAGGACAGGGTTTACTGAGATTGTATTGAAAGCCACTGGCTTTCAGTATAATTTTTAATATTACTTTCAATATTCCTATTACTTAATACTATTACTATTACTCCATGTTACTGTTTTTTTCAGTAATCCTAAACTAGGATTATTTAAATCATTTTGTAGAAATCTGTCATTTGGATGTTTGCCGCTACCTTGACCAGCAAAGCTATCCTCTGGCTTTGAGAAGAAATAGATGATCAAAATTCAAGTAGTAACATAGCAAGAACTGAGGGCAAATTCAGCTGGGGAAGGGAGGTGTCCTTCACACTGCTTCCAGGAATGGTGATAAACAGTTTGTCAGCTGCGAGCAGAGCAGCAGGGGCAGATGTCACACTATAAATCTTCATACCCTCCCATCCTCCAAAGAAAAAGTTGTGCAAGATGGCATAAACCCTTTTGAATTAGATTAGAATAGGCTTGTTTTAAATCAAGAATGTCCAAGTTTTAAATTAGCCATGAAAATGGGTAATAAAACATGCACATTGATTACCATAAAGAAGCCTACGCTAGTAAGTTACCACATTAGAGAAAAATGCCATTTTTTTCTTAAGCTATGTCACAGCAAACCTGATTCCTTGATGAGGTTATTGCTAGCTAAATCTGACTAAAAATTAGGATTAAACTTTTATACATATTTACTGGAGGCTGCTGCCGCCACACCAAACCACCCATCAACCAAGAATTTTCTCTAGATAGGCACGCTTGTCCTTGGGTTTCAGGAACAAAGTATTTTTCTCCTTTGGAGTTATTTTTCTCCTTTTAATAGGCTTCTAGCTGGAGTTTACAGACTTCTTAAACTTTTGGAAAAAAGCTGGAGAGGAGACAACCTTCATGGATTTAAAACTAAATGTTACATTTGAAGCTCGGACTCTTTTGTCTGACCAATTTTGTCTGTTATTAAAACAATGAGCAGACTCTGTTATAAAACCCAACTATTTTTGTCTACTGAATAGTCTGAAACACTAATTTATTTGGCTTGTGCTTTACATGCTTGGATTTTGCCCCAAGGCAAATTTTAACAAAATAAAATTTACTCAAAATTGAATCCACACACTGGTGCTAATAGAGGAGGATTTTGACTGGCAGAGCATGGGAATGCTAAACAGCTCCTGACTGCTGCTTTATTAATTCTACCTAAACCAAGTAGGAAAGAATAGAAAAGGGAAGCAAAAATATGCTTCTCAATTGGTTTGCTCTTGTTCTGGAGGATTGGTAACCCATAGCCAGGAATTGACTAGCACTGACCATGTGCAACATGTCCAACAACTGAGACAGTCATGAATTTTTTGCCTTTTTTTTTGGTAAGACTTGTTAAGCTGATTTTGGTTTCCTTCAGTGCCATCTGACGTACCAGTGAATATTTTACGTGCCTTATTTTTCAAAATATCGCGCAGGTAGAAGTACTGAAAGCATAGTATTTCAGGACTTCATATCAGGTATTTTTATCCAGGTATTCAGTTATTTGTATCCAGGCTGACAATGGCAGGCAAAATTAATTTGCACTATGGCTTTGCCTCCAACTGTGTCAGATTTACAGAAACCTGACTCAAATGGCTGTTGGTCTTTAAGATATCTTAACAACATTGATCAGAAGCTGGTGTTTTGCTGAGATAAAACTGGGTGCCATCTGCAAGGGAAGCAATATTTTGCTCCTTATAGACTGTGACGTCCTCTGGCTCTTGACAGCCTCTTGATAGTTCCTGCAAGTGCTTCCGCGGATAAGCAGATGAGATATCTAATGCTGGCTTTAAGGAGAATGAGTCTAATGTGGAACTATACAAGAAAAATTCACACAAAAAATTTGTAAAAGTGTTTGAATTGTATCCTGACTGCGGCCTGAAAAACAAAAGGGAGCTGAAAACAATCCCATTTATCTAATGCTAGAAGATTGCTTTTATTCATTTTGTTAATGTGATGAATAATTGTTAGTGTTTGCTAAGGATTATGATTTGCTGATATCGCTTGAATTAAGCCAAACTGGGTAGTATAAATTACTAGTGGTCAAATTTGGCTGCCTTGTTAATAGTTTTTTCCAAATTAATGAACTGTATAGTTTGGTATAATGCATGCTCCGTGGATTCTGATTTTTTCGGGGTGTATGTTTATATTGGCTTCTGATCAAGAACGAGATGATTTTAAC